TTTCTGATCCGTCCTAAGTGTTATCCCGCTTCACAATGAAGCAGGCTTGCCCTGAACAAACGCAGATCTTAGTTGAAACCACTGAGTAGATGTGGGGTGAAGGGCCCTTTGGGCCTGGGATCAGAGGTGGGCAAGACACCCCGTGGCCCCGGGGTTTGAAACTTCTTGGGGACAAAGTAGCAGTGATTCAGCTGTGAAGGGAGAGATTGCAGGGCTGCTCCTAACCACCTTCCCAAGTGGGCTGAGGGGCGATGGGTGGGGACGCTGCTTCTGGCTCTGCTGGAGGGAGGCTTCCCAGGCCCCAGCATGAGCTTCTGTAGGCAAAACCCCTCAGCCCCTGGTGAGTTCATCTTAACCCGCCAGCGTGCAAGGGCACCTGGCAGCGAGGTTTAGAAAGTGCTCTCCTGAGCTGGGATCAGTGGCTCAGCCTGTCATCTCGCACCTTGGGAGGCTGAGGTGAGCGGATTGCCTGTGCCCGCGGGTTTGAGACCCGCCTGGGCAACTTGGCGAGACCTCATCTCTACAATAAATCAAAAAAAATGAGCCGGGCATGGTAGCGCGCGCCTTTGGTTCCAGCTACTCAGAAGGCTAAGGCGGAAGGATCGCCGGAGCCCAGCAGGTCAGTTGGAGTTGGAGACTCCAACTACAAAAAAAAGAAAGAAAAAGAAAACGACAGTTCTTGAAACACTTGCGTTTAAAACAACTTTTTGTTTGTTTGTTTTTGAGTTGGAGTCTCACCCTGTTGCCCAGGCTGGAGTGCTGTGGCACGCTCACGGCCACTCCAGCATCAACCTGCTGGGCTCTGGCAATCCTTCCGCCTCAGCCTTCCAACTAGCCAGAACTACAAGAGTGTACTATCATGCCTGGCCAATTTTTGATTTATTGTAGAGACGAGGTCTCGCCAAGTTGCCCAGGCTGGTCTCGAACCCACGGGCTCAGGTAATACAGTAGCCTCGGCCTCCCAAAGTGCTGGCATTACAGGCTGAACCACTGAGCCCGGCCTAAAACATCTTCTTTTTTGTTTTTTTTTCAAAGCAGGATTTATTAAGAGTACAGAAAAGCTCCCAAAGTGAGAGGGGACCTGAGGGGGTTGCTGTAAAACAACTTTTAACATGGATTTGATTCAAATTCTGTCTTTTTAAAAAAAATGTTCTTATTGATACATAATAGATGTACATTTTCTCAGGGTACATGTGATAATTTAATACGTTCATATAATTTGTAAAGATCAAGTCAGTGTAGCTGGAATATACTTTACCCTAAATATTTGTCTTTATGTTAGAAACATTCAAATTATTCTCGTCTAGCTGTTTGGAAACATACAATAGATTATTGTAAACCGTAGTCTCTCTACTCATACATCAAATGCTAGGCCTTATTTCTTCTATCAACCACTCTTCTTTCTCCCATCCCTCATTTTCCTGGCTTCTGGTTACCACCACAGTATCTTCATGAGATCGACTTTTTATTTTTTTTTTTGAGTTGTAGTCGCATTCTGTTGCCCAGGCTGGAGTGCAGTGGCACGCTCATGGCCACTGTAGTCTCAACTTCCTGGGCTCAAGTGATCCTTCTACCTCAGCCTTCCAATTAGCTGGAACCACAGGTATGCACCACCATGCCCAGCTAATTTTTGTATTTATTGTAGAGATGAGGTTTCGCCATGTTGCCCAGGCTAGTCTCAAACCCCTGGGCTCAATCTATCCTCTTGCCCCACCTCCCAAAGTGCTAGAATTATAGGCGTGAGGAGATCGACTTTTTAAATTCCCACATATGAATGAGAACATGGACTATTTTACTTCCTAGCTTACTTAACTTAGTATAATGACCTCCGGTTCCATCCATGTTGCTGCGAATGGCAGGGTTTTGTTTTTTATGGCTGAATAGTATCCCACTGTGTGTAAACTGCTCTATACCCATTGGGTATACCTGTATATATGTATTACATGTAATGTATGTATTAATTTTCAAAGTTGAATTATGATAGCAATGTGTGGTATGACGTTCACTCAAAAGATGGCGTTAATCACCTCTTATCAACAGGGTGTCTGAATGAAACGTAATTGTACACCTAACCCTTAACTGTACCCCACAAAACTATAATAAAAATACTGATTAATTATTAAAAAAAAAAAAAAAAAAAAAAAGATGGCGTTAATCAGATGAGTGCTAGTGTCAACATTGGACAGGTAGGACATAGAAAATGGTGGAAGCATGCTTGTCATTTGTGGAGCACAAGACCATTTTGAGTGGTATTTAAAATTTGAGAACACTGTGGAAGTACAACGACCATGGAGGTATGAGTATGCAACAGAACCTCCAATATGCCTAACAAAATTACACATATTCGTGATTCAATTTGCGATGCATGGTACTATGTGTGATGTACACAAGGGAAGATTTGAAGCCTTGCACAGGAACAAGTCCTGTTTCTTTGGCTTTAGTATTGGAACAGTTTACACACTCATCACAGAATTGTACCAAACAATATTCACATGAGACAGGAGTTAGTGGAACAAGCATATAGTGCTTTCTTAAAACATCCCCAAGATTATTATTATTAAAATATGTATACATTTTTTGGCACCCTCTGTATATCACATTTTCTTTATCCACTGATGGTTGAAGGACACTTACATTGATTCTTTATTTTTGCTAGTGTGAATAGTACTGCAGTAAACATGAGAGTGCAGATATCTCCTTGAAATGTTGATTTCCTTTCATTTGGATATATACCCAGTTAGTGTAATTGATAGATCATATTGTAATTCTACTTTTAGTTTTTTGAGGAGCCTCCATATCCTTTTCCATAGTGGCTATACTAATTTGCATTCCCACCAACAGTGTACAGAGATTCCCTCCTTTCTCCACATCCTCACCGGCCTCTTTTATTCCTTGTCTTTTTTATAAAAGCCAGTTTAACTGGGTGAGATATCTCACTGTGGTTCTTATTTGCATTTCTCTCATGATTAGTGAGGTTGAGTTTTATTTTTTACTGTTTTATATTTTTAATATAATTATAAATTAATAATAAAAGGGACACAACATAAGTAAGAGTTCCTGGGCCGGGCGCAGTGGCTCAGCCTGTGATCCCAGCACTTTGGGAGGCCAAGGTGAGTTGATTGCCTGAGCCTGAGGGTTCGGGACCAGCCTGGGCAACTTGGGAAGACCTTGTCTCTACAATAAATAAAAAATTAGTCGAGTGTGGTAGCATGCGCCTGTAGTTCTGGCTACTCAGAAGGCTGGGGTAGAAGGATCGCCAGAGCCCAGCAGGTCGATGCTGGGGTTGCCGTGAGTGTGCCACTGCACTCCAACCTGGGCAACAGAGTGAGACTCCAACTCAAAAAAATAAAATAAAATAAAAATATCTGATCTCAAGTCAGGCAAAGTGGGGACCAAACGGTGGCCCAAACTTTACCTGTACGATGATCACTTGTATACCTAATCCCGAATTGTACCCCACATCTTTAAAATAAAAAACAATAATAATAATAAAAGTAAATGTTTATGATAAAAATTCAAACAACTTGAAGGTATACAGAATAAAAAGTTGAAGCCCTTTTTAATACTTTTACTATTCCTGCATTTTCACAGAAATCTTCTTGGTGAAGAGCTTGAGAATTTTCTCTTTCTATACATTTTCATGTAGATGTATCTGAATTTTTAGAAATATATAATTGTGTGGGTGTATTATATAGTGACTTTTTTTTCATTTCACAGTGTGTCTTACAGAACCATGTTAGTACATATTGATTTGTCCCCCTTTTAACTGTTATAATCATATTCTGGATATTTGCCTTGGTAAAATCGAAAAATCTAGTGCACATGGGCATTTGGGTACTTCATGACATCAAGGGATAGTCCCTGTGGTGCTGAGGCATATTAATTCCTTATAGATTGGGATAGTTTGCACAGAATCTTACCATTGATATATTTGTGTTAGTAAGTCCTGTCCTATTTTTAAAACATTTAGCTCTTTCAAAGTACAAAAAAAATCTTTTAATTGCCTGTCACATAGTTGACACTTAATAAATTTGTCAAAAGACTGGTGAAGGTTAAGTGCTGATTAAAGAAAACAAAGTTCTCATAATGAATAGAAATTGTCTATGATAATTTCTGTAAAATGTCTCAAGAAATTTGTTATTGAGTTCATTTTTTAAATTCTCCTTGGTCAAGAAGACATTGACATTTGATATTTTTTCTGTTTTAGTTCAGTATATCTTAATTGTCAAATTAGCAGAATCTTTGGAAACTTCATGAATTCTTCTTTACTTTTCAGCATCCAGTGTTGGATGAACCAATAGCAGAAGCTGTCTGTATTATAGCTGATATGGATAAATGGACTGTTCAAGTGGCCAGTAGCCAGAGGCGTGTCACAGATAATAAATTGGGAAAAGAAGTGTTGGTTTCCAGTCTTGTTTCCAGCCTACTTCATTCCACTCTTCAGCTTTATAAGCATAACTTGTCTCCAAATTTTGTAAGTATTTGTAAGGGTTGAATTACTTTGAGCATTCTGAGAGATGACTGAACTCTGCTTTATGTATGCCTATATTAAATACTACTATGAGCTTCTTCATTGTTTTTGTGAAAGAAGGTATGTGGACTATATGTTTGTGTTGTTCCCCAAACTCATATGTTGAAACTCTAACCCCAGTGTGACAGTATTGGAGATAAGGTCTCTGGGAGATAATTAAGGCTAGATTATATCTTGAGGGTGGGACCCTCATGATGGTATTAGTGGCCTATTAAGATGAGGAAGAGAGAGAGAGATTGTTCTTTCTCTACTGGCTTAGGACATAGTAAGAAGCCAGGAAGAAAACCCTTACGAGAATCAGAAAATAAATCTCTGTTTTTAAGGCACTTAGTCTGTGGTATTTTGTTATGGCAGCCTAAGCTAAAACAGAAGCGGTTGTGTATATGTCTATATATTCTGATTTCAGCAGCCAAAATGTTTTTATCATGTGCAGTATAGTCATGCAACATCCCAGGCTTTACAGAATGCCAGTGCATTCTAGATCCTTATTGTCGTGTCAGGACTTGACATGACATCCTTCTTTGTAATATTGATAACCTCTTACTGAAGATGTCATTTCTAACTTTCAGGGTTCTTTTTTTAGGAGAAGTATAATATAGCATAGTTTAAAAGCTCTGTAGCAAAACTGGAAACATTTCCCCTGAAAACTGGAACAAGACAAGGCTGCCCACTCTCACCCCTCTTGTTCAGCATTGTGTTGGAAGTCCTAGTTAGGGCAATTAGACAAGAGAAGGAAACCAGGGGTATCCAAACAGGAAAAGAAGATGTCAAGTTATCCCTCTTTGCTGATTATATACCTTGAAAATCCAAGATAATCTGTCAGAAACCTGCTTGCACTGATAAAGGACTTTGGCAAAGTCTCAGGGTACAAAATAAATGTGCAAAAGACAGTTGCATTCCTATACACCAACAACAAGCAGGCAGAGACCCAAATTAAAAGCACAATCCCATTCACAATATACACAAAAATTGAAATACCTTGGCATCTTTCTAACCAGAGAAGTGAAAGACCTTTACAGTGAGAACTACAAAACACTGCTCAAAGAAATCCAAGAAGACACACACAAATGGAAAAATATTACAAGCTCATGGATAGGAGGAATCAACATTGTTAAAGTGTCTATCCTACGAAAGGCAATCTACAGATTCAGTGCAATACCCATTAAGTTAAAAACATCATTCTTCTCAGACCTGGAAATGACAATACAGAAATTCATATGGAAACATAAACGACCACAAATAGCCAAAACAATCCTTAGCAAAATAAACAAAGCAGGAGATATCACACTTCCAGACTTGAAACTTTACTATAAGTCTACAGTAATCAAAGCAGTCTGGTATTGGTGCAAGAACAGGCACATAGCCCAATGGAACAGGATAGAGATTCTGGAAGCAAAGCCTCAATTTCTCAACCAACTCATCTTTGATAAAGCCTCCAACAACAACCACTGGGAAGAGGAGAACCTATTCAGTAAATGGTGCGGGAAAACTGGCTGATCACATACAGAAGATTGAAACAGGACCCCTACCTATCACCATACACAAAAATTAACTCTAAATGAATCAAAGACCTAAATGTAAAACCTCAAACTATAAGAATCTTAGACAACACAGGAGACACCCTTATGGAAATTGGAACTGGCCACCAATTCCTATTCAGAACCCTAAATGCCCATACCTTAAGAAATAAGATAAACAAGTGGGACCTCATCAAACTAACAAGCTTCTGCAAAGCAAAAGAAACCATCAAGAGAGCAGGGAGACAGCCCACAGAATGGGAAAAAATATTTGCCAACTGTGTATCTGACAAAGGCCTAACATCTAGAATCTACAAGGAACTCAAACATGCTGAAAGGAAAAAGACAAACAGCCCCATTAAAAAGTGGGCAAAAGACATGAATAGATACTTCTCCAAAAGAAGATATACAGGCAGCCAACAGACACATGAAAAAGTGCTCAGCCTCACTCATCATCAGAGAAATGCAAATCAAAACCACATTGAGATACCACCTAACCCCATTAAGAATGGCCATCATTAATAAAACAACAACAGATACTGGCAAGGATGTGCACAAAAAGAACCCTTCTACACTACCAGTGGGAATGCAAACTAGTGCAACCTCTTTGGAAGACAGTGTGGCGATTTCTGAAAGAACTAGAAATTGATCTTCCATATGATCCAGCAATTCCCCTATTGGGAATTTACCCGGAGGAACTCACATCATTCTACAAAAAAGATACCTGCCCGTGTATGTTGGTTCCAGCTCTATTCACAATAGCAAAAACATGGAAACAACCATGTTGTCCATCAAAGCAGGACTGGATTTAAAAAATGAGGCACATATACACAATAGAATATTATGCAACCATAAAGAACGACAAACATATGGACTTGGCAGCAACTTGACTGGATTAAGAGTCGATCATACTCAGTGATCTATCACAGAAACAAAAAACAGAGTACCATATGTTCTCACTCATAAGCAGACCTTGAACAATTATAATACTGTAAGAAAGGTATTGGCAGTAGTGGGAAACTGCCTGGGGGGGGGGGGATTGGCAGTTGAGGGAAACTGCTAGAGGAGAGAGGGGCATACCTCATCAGCAAGGGTACCTGCATAATCAACGTTTGTATACCTTACCCTGAATTGTACCCCACATCTTTATAATTAAAAACAAACAAACAAATTCTCTAGCCTGGGTGCAGTGACTCACACTGTAATTCCTACCCGTGGGAGGCTGAGGCGAAAGGATCTCTTAAGTCAGGAGTTTGGGATCAACTTAGGCAACATAGTGAGACTTCATCTCTCCAAAAAAATCAAAAAATTACTCAGGCATAATGATGCATGCTTTAATCCCAGCTATTCAGGAAACTGAGACAGAAGAATTGCCTGAGCCTAGGAGGTTGAGGCTGCGGTGAGCCATGATCATGTCACTGCACTTCAGCCTGAATGACAGAGTGAGACCCCAACTCAAAAACAAACAACTCTGTAGATTAGTGTGATGAAGGCCATCTATGACAGGCCCATAACTAACATAATGCTCAATGGTAAAAGACTGCATTTTCCCTAAGAATAGGAAAAAGAGAATGATACCCACTTTTACCTTGTCTGTTCAGCATGGTACTATGAGTTTTAGGCCGAGCAATTAGACAAGGGAAAAAAACAGAAGACTTTAAAATTAGAATGGAAAATGTAACATTATCTCTGCTTGCAGATGACATCATCTTCTTATATGTAGAAACATAAAGATTCCACAAAAAAACAGTAGCTCTACTAAGCGAAGTTGTATGGCACAAAACATAAAAATAATTTGCGGCTGGACTCGGTGGCTCAGCCTGAAATCCCAGCACTTTGGGAGTCTGAGGTGAGTGGATTGCTTGTGCCCGCGGTTTCGAGACCAGCCCTGGTAACTTGGTGAGACCTCATCTCTACAATAAGTCAAAAAACTAGCCGGGCATGGTAATGTGTATCTGTAGTTCTGGCTACTTGGAAGGCTGAGGCGGAAGGATCGCCGGAGCCCAGCTGCTCGATGCTGGGGTGGGCGTGAGTGTGCCACTGCACTCGAGCCTGGGCAACAGAGTGAGACTCCAACTCAAAAAACTTAAGTTGCTTCCCTGTATCCTAGCAATGAACACTCTATTAAGAAAACACTTTGACTTAGCAATAGCATGAAACAGATTAATTACTTAGGATTAAATGTAGCCAAGGAAACAAAAAGACTTGTGCACTATAAACTACAGAGCGTTACTGGAAGAAATTAAAGATATAAATAAATGTAAGCACATCCCATGTTTATGATTTGGAAGACTTAATATTGTTAAGATGTCTTTACTACCCAAAGTGATCTACAGATTGCATACACTCTAACATTAAAGTCCTAAAGGCATTTTTTTTTTTTTACATAAATGGGAAAACTCATCTTAAAATTTATTAGGAATCTCAACTCCAAAGAGACAAAACAATCTTGAAAAAGAACAGTTGGTGGATTCACACTTACTATTTTCAAAACTTTCTACAAAGCCACAGTAATGAAAACATTTTGCTGTTGTCATAAGTACAGGCATATAGAACAATGGAACAGAGTAGAGGTCCTAAAAGTAACCTCAACAAGGATGCCAAGACCCTCAACAAATAAACGAGTCTTTTCAACAAAAGATGCTGGGGAAATTGAATAGTCACATGCAAAAGAATGAAGTTGAGCTTATGCCATATACAAATATATGAACTCAAAATGACTCAAAGACCCAAACTTACGAGCTAAAACTATAAAACAAGAAAATGTAGGGGATAATCTGCATGACATTGGATATGGATTTGATATTTTTTTTGAAAGCAGTTTATTAAGACAGCAAAGCTCCCACAGTGGAAGGGGACCCGAAAGACAGTTGCCCTGGATGTTCTTGAATTTAATACTAAAAGCACACTAACAAAAGCAAAAAATGGGTAAATTGGACTTTATCAGAATGCAAAACTTTGTCAGCTGTCAACGGAGTAAAAAGACAGCCCACAGAATGTAAAAAACTGCTTGCAAATCATATATCTAAAAAGGAATTGATGACCAGATTATATAAAGAACTCCTTCAACTCAACAAAAAGCAAACAATCAAATTTGAAATGGGCAAAGAACTGGAATAGACATTTTACCAAAGAAAATATACAAATGACTGATAAGCCTGTGAAATTATGTTCAACATCATTAGTCATTAGGGAAATGCAAATAAAACCACAATGAGATACCATTTAATATCTATCAGGGTGGTATGGTCAGAAATCCACAACTGGACAAGTGTGAGGGCTCATGCCTATAGGCTGAGGTGGAAGGATTTCTTGCCAGCCTGAACAACAAAGTGAGATCCTGTCTCTACAAAACAACCAAAAATTTAAAAAGCAAAACAAAAAACCCACAACAACAAATAGTAAATATTGGCCAGAATGTAGAGACATTGGAACTCTCATGCATTGCTGGTGGGAATATAAAATTGTGTAGGACCTGTGGAAAAGTTTGGCAGTTACCCAGAAAGTTTATTAGTATTATCATATGATGTAGCAATTCTGCATCTAAGGTTATGCTCAAAAGAATTGAAAGCAGGGATTCAAACAGATAATTGTATCCTAATGTTCATAGCAACATTACCTGCATAGCCAAAAGTTAGAGATAATCGAAGTGTCCCTCAGCAAATGAATGGATAACGAAAATGTGGTATAATATGTATAATGCAATATTTATTCAAACATAAAAAGGACTGAAATTCATATGCATGCTGCAACATGGATGAACCTCAAAAACATTATACTAAGTGAAATAATCCAGATACAAAGGGACAAATTTAATACGATTCCACTTACATGAGGTTCCACAAATAGGCACGTTTATAGAGCTAGAAAGTAGAATAGTGGTTACCAAGAGTTAAGGGGAAGGAAGAATGAGGAGTTATTGTTTAATGGGTACAGAGTTTAAGTTTGGGATGATGAAAAATTTCTGGAAGTGGATGGTAGTGATACAAAAGTTGCACAACATGGTGAATACACTTAATGCCACTCAATTATATAATTTAAAATATATTTTATATATACATGTATTCTATAGTTAACATTTTCTTATTTACTATGGCATTTTGAGCCTAAGCAAGCATTATTAAAACAACATATACCACAAAACAGTAAGTGAGCCAAGAAATTCATTTGGTTGTATGTTTTTCAGTAATACAGTGGGTTTTTATTAGTAACATTTAATAGTTGGTTTTCATCGGAAAGAAATATCTGTAAGAATGCAATGTTTTATCAACAAAAACTAATGTTTTTTCCTCAAACATATGCATAGCATCTTTTCACATGATAATACACCTATTTTGGTGAAGTAAGCAAGTTAATTGACAGTAAACAAAATGCATGTGCTTTACTTTTTAATGTTCCAGCTTAGAAACATCTCTCTTCTAGTGTGGACTACAGAGTATTCTCTCTGAACTATTGCAGACTGTTTTTTACTCTCTACAGGCAAATACAATCTTTCCTAAGTAAATACATTTGAAATTTATCAACTTATAAGAATATTACATTTATCAAATTTAGAATAAAAACATATTGAAAAATTTTTGGAGATGGATAGTAGTGATGGTTGTATAACATTTTGAAAATTTATTCGGAATCTTAAAGTCACTAAATTGGCCAAGCATGATGGCTCATGCCTGTAATTCCAGCACTTTGGGAGGCCAAGGCAGGAAGATTGCCTGAGTCCAGGGGTTCGAGACCAGCCTGGGCAACTTGGCAAGACCTCATCTCTATAATAAATCAAAAAATTAGCTGGGTTTGGTGGCGCACGCCTGTAGTTCAGCTACTTGGAAAGATTGCCTAAGCCCAGCAGGTCGGTGCTGTGGTGGCTGTGAGCATGCCACGGTACTTTAGCCTGGGTGACAGACTCCAACTCATTAAATAAATAAATAGCCACTAAATTGTATACTTTAAAATGCTAAATGTTATGTGTATTTTATCACGATTGGAAAAGAAAAAAAAATACTGTAGAAACTAATCTTTGATATGAGTCAAAAAATGTTTACATTTCTTTATAGCTAAAACTGCATACTTTAAAAATGGCTAAAAATTTTAGTTCCTCTTGGAATAACTAAATAGAATTGTCAACAGCATTTTGTTTTGGAATTTACCATACTCAGAGTTAAAAACTGTGTTCTGACCTCTTCTTGGTTTCTCCCTAACGGCAGTGTGTAATGCATCTTGAAGACCGGTTGCAGGAGCTATACTTCAAGAGTAAAATGTTGTCAGAGTATCTGAGGGGGCAGATGCGTGTTCATGTCAAGGAGCTGGGAGTGGTTCTGGGGTATGTAAGTTGTTTTTCTGGCTTTGCTTTCTCATTTCTGTGTCTGTAGGCGAGTAATGTTCCTCAGAATTGCCCTTTTACGTGTCTTTTTCTTTAACACTCTGGATATTGTTATCATTTAGATTGTCCTATACCATAAGGCATTGTCACTTTTGCCATTACGTATAGTATGTTAAGAATATAGTCTGAATAAATTTAAATTTTTTTAAGGAACCAATATCACTGAAGACCTACTCTATGTCAGGAACCAATTTTTAAATGTTTAAAGTTAGGGTTATTTCTTGATTGTTATTAAGAATTAAGTATATAGGCAGTGTCATCTAGGTTGAAAATAGATGATTCTGTAAGTTAATATGCCAGATGTCACACACTGGTTGGACTGAATACGGATCTGAATGACTCCATATCTTTCTGACTCAGGTCCTATTTACATGCGATAATACCACACTGTTGTTCAAGTCCTGATGAAGCGTTTGACTTGAGATGTATAGAGAGGATTGTTCTCCAGGGTATAATCTTTTTCTTGGGGAGTGAAGGGTGTGTCTAAATGCCTTTATTTTTAAAAATTAAAGTAGTTTTTAATAACCAAAGTTCACAGTATATTTTGGCATAAAAATGAAAATTAAATCACTGTCTTCTTTTAGTTTTCAGTCCTCCACCCAAACACTATTGACAGATTGCTTATTTTTATAGAATTTTTAAATGGATAATACAGAATATAAATTGGTTTATACTTTGTATGTCATTGTGCAACTTGCCTTTTAATGTATCTTAAATTGTCATACAAGCACACACTGATTTATCTCATTCTTCTTATTGGCAGGATAACATTCCATTATATGCTGGAATTTATATTATTTTTAGTTTTTTCCTATTGTAAACCAATACTAGAATGAACATAAGTCTTTGACATTTGTAAGATATATTCCTTAAAGTAGAATTTTTGGTTAAAGGGCATGTATATTGGATTTTTCTATGAATGTGATGTTTTGATAGATTATACTGAATACTATCCAGAAAGTACCAGTATAAATTCCCACAAACAGTGAGAAGCATACTCTTTTTACTGCTGGCTATTACCAAGCTCTTTAATCTTCGCCAAGTTACTAGCTTACCAATACCATCTGATTTTATTCAAATTTCTCTAGCCATTAATTGTCTGAGTAACTTTTTCTATGTGGATTTGCCATTTTCCTTTTGCTATAAATTGGTGGTAGGATGTATTTTTAAGAAACTCCCATGACTTCCAGTATATCTTATTATAGAAACATTTTTATCTAAAACAATCTGGGTGCACACTGTTATTCTACTGTTATATTAGATGGTATATTTTAGACATTGTGCCTTGCCCAAGTGCGTGTTCCATCATCAGGTCAGTGAGATGCTTTTCTACATCTATGACTTTGGTACCCATATCTGTGCTTCTGTGTTTTACTTACTGAAATATTTTTCTTTTGGCTAGGGTGACTTAGGTCCTTAACTCCTGCAGTTTAGTGACCTTATAGGTAGTGGTCATCACCTATAGGATTCATATCCTGGGTATAGAAAATCAAAACTGAGATTCTTTTTCTTTTATTTCAGGATTGAATCCAGTGATCTTCCCCTCCTGGCTGCTGTAGCAAGCACTCACTCTCCATATGTTGCACAAATACTCCTTTAACATGTCTAAAGATTGTAAGTGGTTGGTTGAAAGATAAGTAGAAACCAAGGAAACAAAGACACATTTATGAAGATTTTTTTCCCTTTTAGATTTTCATCTGAATTAGTCAGTCACTGATGTATATCCTGCATTGCGTTGCATATTCTCTGTATTTTGGATGGCTTTTTTCTTTTTGATAGGGCTTTTGGGTGTTGGTAGACTTTTAAACAAGTGAAGTTAAAGCAGCCTAAATAATTTTGAAACATTTGAAAAAGCCAAAGTGTACTGTAAGTAACTTCTATAAAATGAATATTATTGAGGAATTTCATGTGATTATTACAGTGTTGTCATAACTCTTAAATAGCAACAGCTGTCTCGTGATTTAGTGGTTCAGAAATAGTCATTTCATTCATTTTTAATTCTTTATTTCTAAGGTACAGAGATTAGTAAAACCTTGATTGTTATTTTGTAATTCAAAACAGCTAATTTCTGGTTAATTTTTGAAGTATTTTAAACAGCCTGTTTATTATAACAAACTCAGAATAATGAGTGTAAATGTGTGTTATGTAAGTGTACATATGTATCTATTTTTTTTAAATAGCAGAAGTAGGAGTACAAGATTGGTAAACATGCCTTTTTAAGAAAATATTTTCAACTAGTATTAATTATGTGTAATGTTGAAATTTTACTTTCTGGTGAGTTTTCTGTTTCACACACTCTAAAATATAAATAAAGCCAATCTTTTTTTAAGGCTGAGGAATATAGATTTCCAAAATAAGAATACTACTTTATACAATTTGTTTATAAGTGTAGACTAATTCTTATAAATATTAATGTTTGCATATTCACTAATTTAATAAATGAAATTGGGATTAAAAATTACACCAAAGCATTGGCAAAAATAATACAATTTTCTTTAAAAGTGCTCAGGTAGCCAAGGTCCTTGCTTTCAGTATCTAGCCCTTTTGAATCCATAGGTGTCGAATATTTATTTCACTGCTTAATAATATTCAAATTACACTAATGGATATTATAACTCCTAAAATTATTCTCTTGTGAGAATAAGAGCCCTTTTCATTCAAAAACTGGGTTTTTTCAAAGATTTCCACTCCTCAGTTGTTGCCCTTGTATATACTGTAGAGTGTTGCTTGCAAGAAAGGCTAATATGGAACCAAACTCCTGTAAGTAATGTAAATAGAAAGATGGGTAGATAAAGTTTTCAGTATGCTCTACTACCTCAGTTTATTTGAATACTACATTATAGTTTATTCTTTGCTTATCTGGTGGAACATACTTTTAATGCTAGTAGTAAAGTTGGTTTCTGCTTTCATTGACTGTTTTCATCATAGTTTCATCATTGATTAAGAAAAAGAAAACCACTTGCCTATTTAGTTACTAAATACATTTACAAAGCAACATATCCATTCTTGCTGTTTAAATTTTCAATAATTCATGAAAAATTTCTGTGATTTGTTTAGTCTTTGACCTTGAATTTTTAACATTGGGTCACATTTTGCCTTGCTCTTTATGTATTCAAGAGATCTCCAACTAGCTGAACAAGAAATGGTGTTTTAATGGAATGTAAACCTGAAATTGTTGTGCCTACGATCTTTGGCCCAGAACCTTTTAGCTGGTCCCAGTTAGTACTTGAGTCTCCCATGGAAGACTTGTTGCCAAGGAGTGTTTGTGGATATATTTACTTTGGCTTAATGTTCTTATTCCATTCATTAACAGAATTCTTCTGTTGTCTGATTTTGGACTTCTATGAGTCAATCTCTTTGGCAGAATTCAGAATACAGAAAAGTTCATATGTGTGCCATTGTACATTATTTTTTGATTGTAGCTCAGAATATGTAGCAGGTAGATAATGTTTCTTTCTGGGTGTTTTCTTAACTATCAAACTATTCTTTATTTAAAATTTAGAAATTTTAATCCTTACTAAGTGGATGGCTCATGCTACTGTTATTCTTAAAGCTAAGCTTTACTGAGAAGGAAAAGGCCTAAAGTTTCATAAAGAATCACTATCCTATAAGATTTCTGATGGTTTTTTCCTTCTTCCTTCTGGATTCATGAGTTTGTAATTCCTAATCCTTCTATAATTTCTATTATCTTCATCATAGTCATTCTTTCCTTACACAAAGCCCAAGGAATGAGCTGCTACTTCTTTAAAGAGTAGTCATTATGATGAATGTGAAAATAATTTTGAACTGTTTGAAATAATTTTTTCAACTTCTTATGGTACAGAGGTGTTATATATATTTTTTAAAAAAAAACCCTGTTTGTTACGGCAGGAAATACAAAAGGGATCTTTTACATTATAGAATTAAAACTAATTTGTCCTTGTATATAAACTAATTGGTTTGATTTCAAATATTTCTAGCTTTTATTAATGTCTTAATTTTGAGTTTGAAAATGTTAAGTGCAATAAAAACATACTAATACAGATTTTGTTTTGTTGTAATTGGCATACTCTGGGAACGATCAATTAAAAAAAAAACTAGATTTGCCATAATGCCTACTTCTGGTAGATGTCTTATGAGAATGTTCTGCTTTCTGTAAGTTATTTAGATGGTGGATATGTAAAATGTACATACTTGTTTCTTGTTCTGTATACATTTCTCAAATGTACACCTGTATTATAATAACCTCCCAGTTCTAGGGAAAACTTGTGCAATAAATACACATGTCAATTTGATGAATGATGTTGGTCTTTCTTTCATATTGTAACATTATTGACTCTGGTGTTGGACCACCTGGATTTTTATCTAAAATTTGGACAAAACTTCTGGGCATGTGACCTTTCCATATTGGTAATTTAGTAGAATCTATTTCATGAGGTTGTTGTGAGAATCAAATGAAATAATGAATATCAATAATTTGGCTCAATTCTGACACACCCCAAATGTTCAATAATTTTTCTCTTCTACTGTTACTGAGTAATCTGTTCAGCTTTCCTGTGGCTCCACCTATTGTTGTGAGAATTTTTTTGTCTTTTTTTTTTTTTGTAGATCAGGGCTCACTCTGTCATAAAGGCTAGAGTGCAATGGCATGATTATAGTTCACTGTAACCTCAAACTCCTGGGTTCAAATGTTCCTTTCACTTCAGTCTCCTGAGTAGCTGTGACTATAGGTGTGTGCTATCATGCCCAGTAGCGCCTCAAAAAATTGGGTTATGATACCGAATTGTTCCTTGCCACGGAAATCTTTAGTAAAAGATGAAAGATTTATACGATCTGAAGAGAAACCAGAGTCGTATATATTTTCTTATGATTAAAAATATGGTAACAAAAAATATACTAGTATCTTCTTACACCTGACCTAATCCTCACAATGACAAATTGAAAATTTCAGTATGTGCTTTTATGAAAGCAAACTGAATTCAATAATCTAAAACCTCGAAGAAGTCCTGTAAAACTGTTAATAAGAACATTGTGTTCAATACAGAATACAACAGAGTGTGCAATTAAATTAAAAATTGGCCAGTTGGTTTGGGTTCTAATCCTTATTTGTTTACTGATTTTCCTGTAACTCTGAGCAAGTCTGTCTTTTCCCTTTTCATTGAAGGGAAGTCATCTCTGTCATCAGTCCTTAGTGCCTGCTCTGCAGCAGTGATTCAGTTCTCAGAAGGCTTGTTGGCAGGCTGTCTTTCTCAGGTTAAGTTGATTTGGGCAGAATTATGCATGGAGGCCGGACTGGACCAAGGGCTTTTTGGCATACTTGTTTTCATATAATATTATATGTATTGTGCTTACATGTTACCAAAAAGAATAAGTGGACTGTTTTATAGTAGAGAGGAAGAATCAAGTGTTTGGGAAATAATCATCAGGTATTTTACAGGTTTATAATTGGCAACGTTTATAAGAAGCATGAAGGACTGATTTTACTAATGAGAAATGGAGATAAAGAGAATTTAATGTGCTTATCTAAAGTCATATAGTGTTTCCTATGTTGTCCATCTTGTCTCTCAGACCAGAATGGTTTCCCAATTGCTATGTGGTGACAGATGCATTGTAAAGATATCCGGGATTTCTTCATTTGTCTTTGCCAATGTGGAAGGTAGAGATACGGTGGCAGGTGGGACCAAACCGGAGCTGAAGGTGCAAGGGGTGATGGGAAGTTGTAGCTGTGAGTGGGAAGGGCTTAGGCAAATAGAAAAGGAGGTATTGTGGAGGTTAGGGCCTCCTGTTTTTGCTCGGTAATGCAGACAGTGGATTTCATCTAGATTTAGGATTTAAGATTATTTGAGACTTCTCTTAAAAAAGAAAAGAAAATACATGCTGTCCAAAACAGATTTTTAAAGAATATGTGAAATCCCCACCTGTTACTTGTCAGGAGAACTTTGGTAGCCTTTTTGTCTTAAAGCATGTGCTCGAGTATCCCCTTCTCCCCAAGAAGCAGGAAACTAAGTCTCCTGATTACTTTGAAAAAGAACTTTTCTTCTGGTGAATGTATGAATCTAAACTGAGGCCTTCATTTGATTGCAGACAGCTCTCTGGGTGGGTTAACACTTTCTGATTAGACCTTCCACAGATGAACCTGCATAAATTCTAAGAGTATTAAGTTGAAGAAACTTGAGCTTCCTTCCTTTCCAAGTGACTATCTTAAAAAGGACAGTCCAAATACATGTCTTTATATTCACCTCAGTGCTAAAATTCAGATTATTGATAAAGGCAGTATTCCTTTTGTAATTTGTCTCAAGGGGAAGAACAAAACTATTGCTGAAATGTGTAAATACAGGTAATACTTGTGATACCATTCTTGTGGGGCACATTTGGTCCGGCACTCAAATCAGCATCCTCCACTGTGGTACAGGGGCTGGGATTAAAATGGATCAGACTAGTTTAGAACCTGAGTTAGTTTAAAGTGCTTCTCAAACCTGACTGTATACTTGAAACACCCAGGTAGCTTTTGAAACTAGAAATTCCTAGACCATACCTTCAGAGATTCTGATTCATTGGTAACAACTGACCTAGAATTTAGTTATAGGATGTTATTTTTTCACTGTAGTGACTCAATCTGCAGCATATCCTAAGTCTCAATTCCTTAATTTCAGGTGCTATTAAAACCTGAGCCCTTTACCCCCATGTTTTTGTTGGTTGCAATTATTCTGGGAAGATGACCGTATAATTGTCTGCTTAATTAGCATTCAGTTTAGACAACAGCTGTTTAGCCAAACGTTATTTTTTGCCATTGGAGAGCAATCAGGTGCCTCTTTCTAATAGCAATGCTCTCTTAATAAGATACTCCTTAGATAGTTCCATTTGTTCATTCAGCAAATATTTATTGGACACCTGTTATGTGCCACACATAGTTGGGTGCTAGGGATATGCCAGTAAATAACACATTCTTTCTGTTCTCATAGAGTTTATGTATTATTCCCTTTGGTAGAGGAGATAGAACAAAAAAATATTTACATATATGTAAAGGTACTCATTTGTAATGTGCTGTCAGGCAATAATAAGTATAACAAGGAAAAATAAAGTTAAGGAGTTGAGCTAGTTTTCAAAAAGGTATAACCATTTTTAAATTTTACCACAATTTAATAAATTACTTGCATTCAGACCATTATTTTTTCCTTTCAGACACAAGTTAATGCAGACGAATCTTGTCCCAGAGACAATTTTCTCTGAAAATAGCTATTAGAACTTTCATTGTCTCCCTTCACTTTTTTTTCCAAGTTAAGTATTCAACAGCATAAGACAAGTTGATAAAGGACAAGATAGATTTTGAAAATATATACTTGCTTAGCTGCAGTTACCATGAATACTAATGTACTGTTTTTATTGTTGCTGTCTTATGATAAAGCCTAATTATTTTTGCATACTTAATTCACTTTCTCTTGTGAAATATTATGTAGAGAAAAATGAAAAAACATACACTCACATAACCATCACCCAGGTTAGGAAGTAGATCATTTTCAGCAACCTGGAAGTCTCCTTTTCCATGTACCCTATCCTGATCATAATTTTCTACCTTCTCATTTTTGTAACTATCAATCTGACATTTTAAAAATATATTTTACCTTAAAGACGAGTACAATTCAGGATTAGGTATACATGTGGACATGGTACAGGTAAAATTTGGGCCTTCCTTTGGTCCCCTTTGCCTGGTTTAAGATCAGCTACCCTTGTCAATGCTGTGTTCCTCCCCCAACTCTGGCAGTATTCTGCTGCTGCCAATCCCTTTCTTATAGCATTAAGGTAAATGTTCAGGGCCCCCTTATGAGTGAAAACGTGGTACTCTGTTCTTTGATTCTGTGATAGATCACTATTATAAACTCTAAATTCATCCAAATTGCTACAGAGTCCATATGTTTATCCTCCTTTATGGCTGCATAATATTTCATTGGGTATATGTACCACATTTTTTAAAAAATCCAGTCCAGTTTCGATGGGTAGCACAGTTCCATGTTTTTGGTATTGTGAATAATGCTGCAATAAACATGCACGCGCAGCATCTTTTTAGTAGAAAAAGATGTGAGTTCTCTGGGTATATTCCCAGTAGGGGGATTGCTGGGTCATATGGATGGTCAATTTCTAGTTATTTTAGAAATCACCAAACCATTTTACATAGAGGTTGAAGTAGTTTGCATTCCCACCAACATGAACATCTCCTTGCTTTCTCTTTATTGTTTTACCTCTGTGCATGCATTCCTAACTGATATAATTTTGCTTATGTTTGAACTCTGTGTGCAATTATATTTTGTATTTTGTGTTTTGCTTTTTTTCTCTCAACATGATGTTTGGGCTTCATCAATATGTGCTATGTAGCTGGTATTCCACTGGATATATATACCACAATCTAACCCTTCTATTATTGATATTTGGGTTATGTCTGGTTTTTTGCTACCTTTTTTTTCTCCCATCCTTTTTTTGGTCCATCTTTTCTTGGGTACATAGGCATACTGTAGAGCATACATCAAAGAGTGGATTTGCTATCATAGAGTGTGTTTCAGCTTTACTACTTTTTGCCCCAAATGGTTTCTCAATTTCCACTTAATCAGCAGTTTGTGAGTTCCTCTTGTCCCACACCTTCGCAAATACTTAACTGTGTTTCTGAATAGTTATAAAAAAAAAAGATTAAAAACAATCTATTCTTCAAAGTTGAATTTCTGCTTTAGACAAATCACTTGCCAGAGGTAAAGTAACAGAATTAGTAAAGAGTGCTTGGATTGTGCAGGCTACATACTAAATGCCTCACATGAATTTTCTCATGTAATCTTAAGAGAATCCTGAAGCGATAGGTTCTTTACTATTGCCATTCTACAGATAAGGAAGCCTAAGTTCAGAGATATTAAATAACTTCACCAGTCACTTAACTAGAAGTGATTAAAAACATAAATTCAGGTCTGTTTGCACCAAAAATCCAAGTTCATGGTGATCATGTTTTAGTTCCGTTTCTCTTTCAAAATATTGATGTGACTCTAGAAATGTATCCTTGAAGAATGGAATGGGTAACTGGTCTATGATCCTGGGCACACCTTTGAGAGGGTATGTTTATACAAAAAAATGATGAGGAAAATGGGTTTTAACACCTTGTGATTTTTCCACAATTACTTTATTTCTAGAATGACTGAGCCACAACTTCCCTGGTAAGGTTTCTGCCCTATTCTTGAAAAAGAGATGTGCTAACCGTGTGTTGTAAACTTCAAGTTTGGGCAAGCCCCAGAAGCAACGGAAAGCACAGCCCCTGTTAACATCACCTGTCACTGCCCAGTCCCCCAAAGGTAAATGTTGTGGCCTGAACTCTTCTTTATATTACTTGAAAATGTAGTTTTTTTTACCATGTTATTAAAAATTACTCAGTCATTATTTGAAAAGCATGTCATAATGATAAATCACCTTGAGTGTACTATGCTCGCTGTTGTGAGAAAAAATAAGTTGTACCTAAATGTGGTCACAGCCCTTAATGAGCTTAAAATCCCCTGGAAAGGACACGCCCGCGGCGGCGCCTGAGTGAGGAACTGTGATCAGTGCGGCCACGTATGCGCTTAATGAGAAGGGTAAGGACCGTCAGCCCGATTGTGCAAACAGCCTCGGCAGCTCTCTGGCTGCTCCAAAGGGTGGTTTGTAAATGGACTTTAGTTGGTCTTTTGGGAAGCCAGCTGGGATGTAAGGAGTAGCACAACGGCGGCCACTCTCGGTTCAGGCCACCCCAAGCCCAGTTGCGCGAGGGAGGGCGGCCTCAGGCTTTGGATCTTGAACGCAAGCCCAGACTCAGCATGCAAGCCCGCGGACATCGTGAGCGGGCCACCCGCCGGCGCCGCAGCAGCCCCCGCTCCCAGGGCTCAATGCTGTGAAACTTTGCTTGCTCTGCCTGGTCTCAGGATGTTTATCTTGAACAGAACAAGCAACGTTTTGTGTGCCGCTGTCGCAAGATATTTTGTTTTATTAAAAGAGACGTAAGGGAGTGTTGAGTGGACCCGTTTGCCAAATGGCGGCGCCTACTTCCGCACGTTCTCCGAGACGGGCGTGGAAGTTGCAGAGAGAGAGCTCAAACCCAGACTCAGCCACACCCTGGGTTTCCGGACTGGGCACAACGCGTCTCTGCATCCAGAACGTCTCCCCCACGGTCCTGCCCCAACGTATTTTTGCTCAGGCCCTCACAACGCGTTTCCGGTTACTTCACCGGAAGCTGAGGAGGCCGAAGCTCTACTCTGAGGCGGATCCCGGAACGGGTTCAGGTGAGTTCTCGCGATACTTCCTTAAATCTCACGGAGAAGGGTTGGAAAAGACTTAACGGCGCCGCCCTCGTTCTTACGTCTCAGTGGAGCCACTCCCTTGGGCGTTCCTTGGCGTGCGCGTGCGTGATGCGCTTGCGCACTTACTCTCCCCCGCCCCCGCACAGGTTTCTCTTTGGCCAGTCGCGCGTGGGCTGAGGTCTTCGGCGGGCGTTGCGAAGCGTTGATTACTTGAGCTCCGACCCTGCGACGGTCAGGGGTCCCCTCCTTGGGAGGTGGAGGGGGGGGCTCACCCCCTACTTAGGGTGAATGAACTGTCCCGTGAGCTGCTAAGGACAGGCTGGGGAGCACAGGGACCGCGGCCATGAATTCACCCGTGGACCCCAGCGCTAGGCAGGCGTTGAAGAAGAAGCCGCCCGAGCGGACCCCTGAGGTAAGGCGGTCAACCCTGGCGTATATCCCACGGTTCAGCAGACGGGTCCCACTGTCGGTCCAAAACCCGCGGCAACTGTCGCCTCTGCAGAGCTTCGCACCTGCTGCTGTGTATCTGTTCTCTGAGCCTCTCGGCCCTGCCCCAGGCCCTTTTCGCGGGCTGGGTGGCGACCGCCTTTCCTGCCGGTGATGCTGTCTCAGCCGCACTCCAGTCCCCGCCAGGACTTCCTAGTGTTTTCTGTAAGAAGGCTCCTTATTGTGTTTTCTGAGTTGGGTAAAATATGGGTCTTGGAGTGAACCTGCCCATATATTTAAGTAGGCTGAGAAAAAACAAGGTAGAAGTTGTAACTAAAGTATCTCAGCCGTGTAAATTAAGAAATAGCTTTTCTTTAAAGGTCCCCGAAATAACGTGTAACTACCAAAAAAAGAGTTTTCAGAATCGGTTTAAAAGTTTGCGTCCAGTCAGATGATGAATTCTGTGGTAGATGATGCACGTTTAAAGATCACTTCTGTAGGTACTTTTCAGACTTAGTGGGAAATTTTACAGTATTTTGTGCTTGGATCCAAAATTTGCTGCGTTGAGTTAGCAGTAATGACATTAGCTTAAAAGATTTTCATTTGCCCTGAACGCTAGTTTTGAGACAGCTAAGTAAAACCTGTTCGCTTTACATACGCCGTTAGAGTGCGTACATTTGGGGGGGAAGGTTTCCTTGATTTGGAAGAGTTTCTGTATAGGTGAGACATGTACTTTAAGTAAAATAACAAAACCCAATAGCAGTGTGAATGGATTGTTGGATTGTCTTGTTTATCACTGCAATAAATGAAATGCTTTGATTGGTTTTTCCTAGGTTACTTTTGAATTTTTCAGTTGAATAGTGTCTTGCATAGTAAGTCTCAGTAACTTTGGGCTGACCTTTTGGGATAAAACATTTTTCAAGCCATAACTGATGCTGTGATAGCTCAAAGTTTGTTATTGGAGATCCTGATCTTTGCATAGGAACAAGGCAAGTTCTACCATTTTCCAGAGTCGTCTGTATTTATAATCCCATGTGTTTTAATTTCCCTTAGATTCTTGAAGACAGTGTGAGCTAATTGAAATTATTCACTTTGAATAGGTAAAGTTTTTCTATAGCTTTTATAGCATTAGAAAGTATTACACAAGGCATACAAAGTGTAATGTAGGTTTTACTTTGGAACATTATTTATGCTACTAAATTCACATTTTAATGAGAACATCCTACTTCTCTTTAATGGCAGAATTACCTACTTTGAAATTGTCTATTTTTGAGCCCTAGGAAATTTTCTAAACTGTTCATGAAGTTATGTTGGCCATTGTGTGCTGTATTAAGAACTTTATCTTGTTTTACTGGAACAGCAGCATTGTTTAAGGAAATGGTGGAGACTGTCCACAGTACTCAGAATATAACAGTGAAATCTATCAGCATAACATGTTAACTTCTTGATTCATTAGTAATACTTTTGAATGAGTGTGGAATTTGGGGTACAAAAGTGTGAACAAGAAAATGATAACCTGAATCCTAGTGATGATTTGTTTCTGGTAGGTAATTTGATGAAATTCTTTCATTGGATGGGGTCACAGACTATTATAAATTCTAAAAATTAAAAAAAAAAAATTCTCACAAGTTCATTTTTGTTTTCAGAAGATTCTTACTCTTCTTTTTTTTTTTTTTGAGTTGGAGTCTCACTCTGTTGCCCAGACTGGAGTGCAGTGGCCGCTCCCAGCCACCTCAGCCTCGCCTGCTGGGCTCCAGTGATTCTTCCGCCTCAGCCTTCCAAGTAGCCAGAATTACAGGCATGCGCTACCACGCCCGGCTGATTTTTTGATTTATTGTAGAGACGAGGTCTCGCTGCCCAGGCAGGTCAAGATTCTTACTCTTTTCATGGACTCTTAAGGGCCTATTATAAATATAATAATTCAGTTATTACCTATCAAGAACCTAACAGTTCAAGGTACTATTCTGTACACAAGGATGTTTCGTGAACAAAAAGGAGGGGGAAAGGCTGATAACCAATATAATAAACGAGTAAGTTACATAATATGTTAGCTATTAATTGCCATGAGGGTGTGGGGAAGCAGAATAAGAGATTGGAAGCAAGAGACAAGGGAGGGTTGCAGTTTAAATAAGGTGGTTCATATTTTCCTGGTTCAGAAGATGACGTTTATTTCTTTTTTTCTTATTTCTCCAAGAAAAAAGAAGATGACTTTTGATCGAAGATTTGATGCATGTGACAGAATTAGCTATGGAGTTATATGGGGAAAGAGCTTTCCAAGCAGAGAGAATAATCAGTGCAAAGACCCTAGAATGAGAGCTTGTCTTGGTGCATTCCAGGAATAACAAGGAGCTTTAAGTGCCTGGAGAAGTGTGAACAAGTGTGAGAGTAGCAAGAGAAGGGAATAGTGATGGCATAGTATAGGGCATATCATGTAGAACTTTCTGAGTCATTGTAAATTATTTGGCTTTTATTTTGAGCAAAGGAGGGATACTGAAAGGGTTTGAAGCAGAGGGGTTATAGTATCCAACTTGGGCAGAGTATCTATGTATTGCCCAGACTGGCAAGGATCCTAGGCTCAATTGATCTTTCTGCTTCAACCCGAGTAGCTGGATCTGCAGGTGCACACCACCACACCTGGCTATCTTACTTAACTTTTGAAAGTCTCCTGGCTACTTTGTTGAGAATAAACTGTAGGAGGAGTAAGGATAAGTGTAGGAAATTAGAGACTAGAGACTATCATATTAAAATCAGGTAAAAGATGGTAATAGAATGGTAATAATGGAGGTGATAAGAAATAATCAAATTTTGGAAATACTTGGATTTGCTAATGGATTAGATGTGGACTTTGAGAGAGAAAGAAGAATTAAGCATCATTTCAATGGTTTTGACCTAAACAAGTGGAGTGCAGGAGTTATCATTGAAGATAGGTTGAGCTGCCTTCAAAGAGATGGGGAAAGCTACATGACGAATAGATTTTGGGGGGAGATATCAGAAATTCAGTTTTAAACATGTCAGTTGTTTATTAGAAATGTTGAGAAATAAGTTACATATCCAAAATTTATATTTCTAAGAGGAGCCTGGGCTGGAGATAGAAATTTTAGTCATTAGCTTAATTTCATAAGACTGGATGAAATTACCAAGGGAGTGAGTATACATAGAGAATAGAAGAGAGGACCAAAGACAGTGCGTGCCACGGGACACTGGATCACTGTAAGGTCCGGGGAGAAGAGCAGAAACCAGCAAAGAATGAGTGGGAGCAAACAGCGCAGGAGGGGAAAAACCAAAAGAGAGTGGTGGTGTCCTGGAAGCCAGTTTAATCAGGTATATAATAGAAGGTGATAAAATTCATTTATTCACTTCCTTTTATTCAGCTTATTTTTCCTTGAACACCTACTGGGTGCAAACATTATAAAAATATAAAAAGGGATAAGAATCACTGTGTTGAACTTTGTAATCAGATGTTTGCATCATATAATTAATAAGTACAGACCTCTCCCATGTGTTTCGAGGACACAAAATTAATGGTTCCTTTATTTTAAACCATCTGTTGTCCTTAGTTGAAACTATGAACTCAGGCATGATCATAGTGAGTCAGACACTGAGTATAGACGCATGTTGTGAAGTGTGCCATTTAGATAGCTTGCTTTCTTTTTCTCACTTTTCTTTCTTTCTCTCCATCTGTCATCCAGGCTGGGGAGTGCAGTGGCACAGTCACAACTCACCTCAACCTCCTGGGCTTAGGTGATCCTTCTACCTCACGAAGTATCTGGCACTACAGGCACATACCACCATGCCCAGTTAATTTTTTTTTGTAGAGATGTATTCTCATTATGTTGCCTAGGTTGGTCTCAAACTCCTGGGCTCAAGCAGTCCTCTTGCTTTGGCCTTCCAAAGTGCTTAGATTACAGGTGTGAGCCTGGCCCTAAGTAATTTTTTGATTTTTGTAGAGACAAGGGCTCACTATGTTGCCCAGGCTGGTCAACATAACTCAAGCAATCCTCTTACCTCAGCCTCCCAAAGTGCTAGAATTACAGGCATGAGCCACCATCCCCTGCTTATATCATAATATAAATTATAGACTTAAGCATTCCAGAAGCTTCCCTTTGCCCCTTCCCATTCAAAATCCTTTCCCACAGCAAACCAGTGTTCTGCTTCTGTCACCATGGATGATTTGTTCTTCCTGCTTTTGAACTTCATTTGCATACAATTGTGGTTTTTTTCCTTTCTTTTTTCTTTTTTTGCTTAAGAGATGAGGTCTTGCTGTTTTGCCTGTGCTGACCTAGAGCTCCTGGACTTACGTGATCTTCTGGCCTCAGCCTCCCACGTAGCTGGGACTACAGGTCCATGCTACTGTGCCTGGCTTTTCATATGTATTCTTTCCAGCTGCAAAGAGGACTGTGAAGCTGCCTTGGTTCATTTTGTCTCTACACTGGAATTTGAACTTCCTCTCTTGAGGCTTTCCTTGTTATTCATCTTATTCTTTATATCCTGACTCACCTTTTTGTCTACCCTTTTGGTATTATCTACCTCACTCTGTCCAGCTCTACTCCTGGGATAACTGCCTCTCAGCCCCAGATTCTGCAGTTGTCCAAGATGCATCTGTACAGTTCCTTTTAACCTCTGCAGTAGTGCCAGGACAGATCTGACAAAACCCTCCTGTCTTTTGCTTGTTGGTATCAGGTTTGGATTTGGTGCAAGAGCAAAGCAGAAGTTAGATAATTCCTAGATTTCTGATTTGGGTAACTATATACAGAGGCTGCCAAAACAATGTATACACATTTTAAGAAAGGAAAAAACTCTATTAAAATTGTAAAACTCAATAAGATGAATACAAGTCACATTTGACTTCTGCAATTACAAGAGGTGCTTAAGGTGGTTACTGTCAGCATCCAGACACTTGTGATTACGGTGGACATCTCTTAAAATGTGTACACATTTTTGGGCACCCCCAATATAATAGTGCATTATTAAGGAACAAAATTAGAC